TAAGCCAGCTCTTTACACAAAGAAGCATTTACTGCAATAAAGTTTCATTTCACGGAACACCAACCTCCTTCCCCACAAATTCTTCCCAAGTAATACACCTTTTTACTTTTCTTCATTTTATTTTAAAATACATTTCCAAATGAGGGGAGCCCAGAGCTTCAAATGCTTTACTCTAGTCTTCTTTAAACATATTGGGCACCTACATATAAAATGATATTGACCCGATTGAGTGCCATCACTGAAGACAAAGACAGTCCCATTTTGGCTTTTGCTGCAGAAGGAGGTGGGGGTGCAGCCAGCATGCCCGCCGCCTGCAGATCGTGCGAGCAGAGCCACGCCGCTGTGTGAGCTGCAGAGGGACAGGGGCAGTTTCCCAAGCCCCGCAGCGCCCCCACGCGGCAGAGCGCCGAGCGTGCGGAGCAATGACGCGCGCTGAGCCCGCTGCGTTTTTGTCTCTGCTGTCTCCGCTCTCAGGAGCACGAGTCTGTTTGACATGCGGTGCGAGGAGGAGGCCGCGGTGCAGCCGCACAGCAGGGCCCGCCAGGAGCAGCTGCAGCTGATAAATAACCAGCTGAGGGAAGAGGACGACAAATGGCAAGACGTGAGTTCCGGCCAAGGCCGCGCGGGCAGAGGGGGAGGCGACTCATAGCAGAACATCGGGCTGGGTAGGTCGACCTGGACTTGAGAGCCCTGCCGGGAAGGGAGCCCCCGGAGACTTCAAACAGCGCCACAGTGAGTGTGGGGATCGAAGGAAGGTTAACAGCAACACGAAAGGTGCGAGCGAATGACTTGGGCACATGATCAGGAGGTGCCCTTGCCAGAAGCTTGGCCACAAAGGACAGGGGGCCGGAAGGAGGCAATGCAATGGGTGTAGAACTGATGATGCGCTGCCTTTGGGGATTGTATATTTGAGGTTGATTATGTATTTGATGATGATGATGATGGCAACAACAATCACCTCCAACTTGGAAAGTGTGTCAATACCAGGCACTGTGCTAAGTGCTTTGCATGTATTAATTCATCTAATTCTTGTAGTGAGTGAAGGAACTAGCAACTGTGATTGTCCTCGATCCCACAGATGATTCCCAGCACAGCTAAGTCACTTGCCTAAAGTCACAAAACTATTGAGAAGGGGAGCCAGGATTAGAACCAGGGAAGGAAGGCTGGAGAGGCTGAGGAGGCCTTTGAGATTTGTTTGTGTGCTGACAACCAAGAGCCAAAGCAGGGAAATAGCTTGAAGCTCGGGATGAGAGGAGGGAGGGTGGATTCTCTCATTTAATGCTCACAGAGCGCTCTTAGGTAGCTGTTGTCAACTTGACCCTACCATTAGCCAAAAAAGTTAACTCCTCCGAAGTTCATAAAATGTCATAATAACTTTGTCTACAATATATTGAGTGCTCACTTTGTGCCTGGCATCTTACGAATTATCACATTTAACCCTACAGACTTGTAAGAAGAGGTGCTGTTATCATCCCCATTTTAGAGATGAGGAAACTGAGGTACAGAGAGGCTAAGAAACATGCCTGAGATTCCAAAGCATGAAAGGATTATTTTCCACAGCTGCATTCCCATCCATCTGACCCCAGAATCCTAACTTCATCATTATTCTATAACTACTTGGAGGATTTGTGGTGAGGTTGATGTCAGGAGTAGATGAATTAATACATACAGAGTCATCGGGTCCATAAGACTCCACAGCCGATTTTTCTGCCTTTACTTCCTTCCATGAAGAAAATGTATAGGTTAATCCCTACCATTCCATGGTCAGCAAGCCCACTCACAATGCAGAGGTCATAAATAGGAAGAAATGAAGTTTCTTACAAGTATCTTGTGAGGTAATTCTCTAAAATTTGGCAACTGACATGGAATATGATTGCATATTTCACACTGTGCATTTAAGTAAATGCCCTGCTCTGTCTAATGTAGATAATACCTGAGTGTTTCTGCCTCTGAGGCCTTCCTGCTCCAACCAGCCTTACACTGGGTTGTGTGGGGGTGCTCTAGCATAGTGCCTGGCCCAGAGCAGGGCCCACTCAACTCCAAAGAGTAAAACGGAATGGTGTGCAAGCCTGAAGGACAGCATTGTGTCTCTCTCTCTCCCTGCCAGGACCTGGCTCGTTGGAAAAGTCGTAGAAGAAGTGCTTCTCAGGATTTAATCAAGAAAGAGGAAGAAAGGAAAAAAATGGAGAAGTTATTGGCTGGAGAGGATGGGACAAGTGATCGCAGGAAAAGCATCAAAACCTACAGAGAAATTGTTCAAGAAAAGTGGGTTCTTTCTGTTGTTTTTAAATGTACCATATTATCTAGATGTGCTTTTTCTAAAAATTGATTATCACAAAAGCTCTAACACCAACATTTTACACTCCCTGCACTATCTTTTCAGCACTGCCTTGGCTCCTACCAAGGTCTTTGCAGTTTTTCTCCCTGTTGACTTTCTTCTTGCTTCCCTCTCCCACGCCCCATCCTTTAGAGAGCGGCGCGAGAGAGAGTTGCACGAGGCGTATAAGAACGCGAAGTCCCAGGAAGAGGCAGAGGGGATTCTTCAGCAGTACATCGAGAGGTTCACCATCAGCGAGGCTGTTCTCGAACGCTTGGAGATGCCAAAAATTCTGGAAAGAAGCCATTCAACAGAGCCAAACTCATCCTCCTTCCCGAACGACCCCAACCCCATGAGATACCTGCGGCAACAGTCACTGCCTCCACCCAAGTTCACTGCCACTGTGGAAACCACTGTTGCATGTGCCAGTGTTCCGGATGCCAGCGTGTCAGCAGACAGTGGGTCTCCAAGCAAAACTGTCACTCCCAAAGCAGTGCCTATGCTGACGCCCAAGCCTTACTCCCAGCCCAAAAACTCTCAAGAGGTTCTGAAGACATTTAAGGTAGGACAGGTTCCTTAAGAGTAGAACCAAAAGTGAGCTCCAGGTAGTAAGTAGAAAAAAGCATCCTGATTCAAGAAAATGCAATTATTTTTACCAAACAAAAGCAAAATGTGTTAACATTTACAATTGTGAAGTTTATGTGTCTCAGGAGATTTGGCTTGTGGATACTTCAGGGATAGATGTTCCTCTGAATTACTGTTGTTAATACTGATGGACTTGAATGAGCATGGTCTAGTTTCCAGTTTGGTAGAATGACATGTTCTCTCTCTGGTAGTGGTAGCAAACCTTAACTTAGTAATACCCTAGTAACTCCAGCTATCTGGAGGTACGGCAACTCCTCAAAACAAAATTTAATTGCTTTTGGTTTAAATAGAAGTATATACAGCTCCCTGTCTTTCAGGAAGAAATTAACATTATATCCAAAAAGATGCTACAATTGAAAAAAATACCAGGGAACACATGGCAACATAAGACGTACTGGGTCCTCAGATGAGACAGAATTTTTTTTTAAGTAGAGAGAATTGGTTTATTTTACCAATGAATGTCCCAGAACTGAAAAACCTAAGACGACCAAACATCTCACTTCCTCAAATTCTGGTATCTTCCCTCATATCATGAGGAAGCACTCGTCTTCCCTCTGGTATCTTCCCTCATATCATGAGGAAGCTCTTTTGACTACAAGCAAAAATCAGTTGTCATTTCCCTGCCTACTACATGAGTTCATAATAGGAGACGGAGGTGGAATTCATCACTAGGAGATGTGACCATGATGACTGCAAAAAAGTTTGGTCTCTAAGCTGAGTGATGTGTGCCAGTGCCGTGCACCTTCCCTATAGCATTTCAGAGGGAATCAAATCATACTTTCTGACTTTTGCTTAAATAACTCTGAATGTATCTTAAAAATCTGTGCCTTGGGCTCTGATAGAACCAAAGAAAAATGCTCTGGCTGTCTCATCTGTGTTGAATTGAGATGTTTGTTGGTTTAAGGGCAGGGGCTGTATCTGTTAGTCACAGAGTCATGCAGAGAGCCTGGCATGGGTGCCCAGGACGTAGTCCTCACTTGGCAAGTGTTTATTGAATAAATACACGTATTTTTCCTGAGAAGGTGAGCTACCAATCATGCAGACTCACGCGCACACAGATATACCGTGTTCATGTGTGCTGAGGGGCCCGCCTAAATAGCTTTCCTTAGCCTAGGGCCTGAGATGATGGGCGGGCTCTGATAATTCGTGAAAGAAGATTTTATGTTGAAGTTGCCCAGAACAGGGATGGGGAATACATTTATTTAACCAGGTATCCAAGGCATCTAATCAAATAATCTGGCTGTCCACTTCCCCTCCTTTATGTAAACAGAGCAATGTGATCATTTAAACAGGAGAATTAGGATAAATGACTTTATGGCCAAACTTCACCTCCGAGAGAACCCTGTCCTTCCCTGTGGCAAGATGGTGTAGAGGCCTCAGGAAGAGTCTGCAGGGAAGAGTGTTGAGGAACTTGAGTGTTGCTCCTCTTAAAGCTAGAAGTCGTTCTTGACCACTCACTAGTGGGCGTCCTCTTGACTCACCATAGGCCTTAGTAGCTTTTAACCCTATGGACGGCCCACAGCTCTGTCACTGAGTGGGTGGACAGGCGGTTGTGTTCAAGGGTAATGTGTAATAGGGCAGTTGCTACCAGATAATGCCAGGACAGAAGCTAAGGGGTGCATGTGTGTGTGTGGTGTGTGTGTGTGGTGTGTTGTGTGTGGTGCGTGTGTGGTGTGGGTATGTTGTGTGTTGTGTGNTGTGCAGCCTGAGGGTTTTTTAAAAATTGCTTTCCCTATCTTTTTTCTTTTAAAAGAGTAAATTCAGAGGTGTCTTAAAAAAGAAAAAGTAGAATGGTTGTGAATATATTAGGTTACAAAGTATATACTGATTTATATATTTAACTCCTTAATCTTATTATAAAATATCTTATTTTCTTGATTCCAAGATACCATCAACTGCACTATTAATTACAGTTTTACAGAAAATAAAGAGAAATAACCTCATCAAACACATACATGGTCAATTCATAGTTGTTGGCTGCACCCAAAATTCAGAAAATAAAATATGGAAAAGTGAGTGTCTTAAACTTTAAGGCTGTGTGATATTTTTTTGAAAATGGAGAAATTGCCTTCATTCATGTAGGAAGCATTTAAGCCAGCTCTTTACACAAAGAAGCATTTACTGCAATAAAGTTTCATTTCACGGAACACC